GGTGGACGTTGATAAGGTCGGTGTTATCTCGTACCAGGTCTTTGAGCTTGGGACCGATCTGGGCGTCGCGTCCAAATACCTTGCAGGCGTCCATGAAGGTGTCAGCCCAGCGCTGGATAGCGGTGTCCTTGAGCGTGCCGTCGTCGCTTTGGAGCATGAAGCTCCAGTCCTGGAATTCGGCCCAACCGCCAGGATTGAGATTTCTGGACGCGCTGTTAGAAAGGACGGGAAGTCTAGAATCCGGGAACTTACTGAGAGACCCTGTTGACGTAGGTTGGCCAGTCTGCTAGCGAGCCGGACAGGTATCGACTGAAGATGAAGTCGTACTTGTTCTGCCCAACCCACTCGCTCTCGACATCATCGATTTCGAACTTGACATTCGTCGGAACCCTGTTGCGATGGACTCTTAGCGAATCACCATTTTGCCGGTTCTGGCATGTTTAATTCAATGCCTTGGTGCTGGTGGACATACCACTTTGGCTGGATGGCACTCAGATCATTGCCGATGATCTAACACACTCTTAGTACTCTTCCCCATACGGGCAGGTCACACCGTACCTCGGCTCCAGGGAACAGGTCTCCCATCTCGATGGACCCTATAGGTATGAGAACTCAGAAGACGACGGAGAGATTGCAAAGCAGCGCATTGCAACGTACAAATGCCAGTGCCGGTACCAACATCCAGAACGCGATGCAGTTTTGCTTCCTTGATAGGCGCAAGGAATAGTTTATTTCCAATGGTCTTGACCATCAACGTGTGCACCAAATCGAGGCGGTCCATTTCGTCCTACACCCGAATCTTCAGCCCGCGCAACATTTCCAGCGACAAGGAAGAGCTCAGACCTCGTCATTGGGAAAGTTGTACGCTACTTTCCGTTAGTCGTGATGAAGACTAGAGCGTTCGTGGAGCTCTACATAGTGGCCCCAAGGCTCCTGTGGCATACCTCCAGCGCGGAAAGCGTGGTACCGACGGCCGTACTCTGTTGGGTAATCCACGACTGAAGACGTGAGCGAGGCTGTGTATGAGGACCTGCGACGATTAGCTCCTCGTCCCCAAGAGCTCAGACCTTGAAAGGCAGTAGTGAGGCTTGCGTACATTTGATCATCAATCGTGGACGCATTTTCCTAGCCGCCCGTAAGACCTAGTCATTAGTTTCCATGATTGATGTACCAGAGTACTCTGCAGACGTACGCTTGCTCCATCATCGACGTCAATCGCTGCAGGCTCAGTCGCAGCGGCAACGGGCTCAGTGGCTGTAGGAGCTGCCGGCGAATCTTGCGATTCGTTTCTTGGGCTCACCGAAGCGTGTGGTGATGGATTTGACATTCTGAACCTGATACGTCCTGTTATTGACGCTGGAGAACAATTTTTGAGCCAAGAAATGCTTCCAAGAGCGCGCTTTGGTGCTGAGAAGAGCTGCGAGATATTTGTAGCGAGATTCCGTGGATGAGAAACCCCCGCAGCTTGGCGAATTACCCACCGTCACTTGAAAATGGTTGGTTCCTCTTTCTCAAGTTCCAACTGCACATTGTGCAGCGCGTATCAGACCATTGTGCGTCCGTGTTTCCTCCTTCCTTGCCGGTGATCCCTGCCCGCCGGAAATGTTGAGTCTAGAGTCCTTTTGTGTCCCCAGCCCTCTGATAGTGCCGAGTTTGCATGTGACCTGCTAGAGTAATAGAGAGAAGCACTGCCAGGCCCTCATGTTTCGGAATTACTTACTTAAGGCTCACTCTGCCTAGGCTTGAGACTGTTGTTATGAAAGGGCGGTGTTGTAAGTTGTCGGAAATCGTAGTTCTTCATTGGAGAGTTGTATCCTGGCAGATGGCAAGGTTTATTTGGCGAAGAGTCCACCAATTGGACAATTGGTTGCAGAACCCCTACCTACCTAAGTAGCTGCACGAGTCCCGTGTCCTATGTTCCTCTAGTCAATGATTTCCCTAAAAGTCTACCACACGGCAATCTTCGTTGTAAGTTGTGCATTGCTAAACGCTTTCAACGCCCATCTGGAAGTCCCATTTTGAGCTAGCGCTCGTTCTCTCACACCGCGCCCGTTTGACGAAGCATGTCTCGGAACATGTAGGTCACAAACCCGAAGATGACTATGACGGCAGTGGACTACATGTAGACTTCTGCAAAACTGCAGTGGTGTTTGAAAACAAGCAAAAGCGTGTTTGATGACTCTGAAGAAGCGAAGGTATTATACACTGACAACTCTGAAAGCATGGAATTGTTCCTGGAATGGAGGAACGCTCTGTGGCAATGGCATGCTTTGTCTTCTGATACCCCCAGCTTGGACCTTGGCCCAAAGCCGCAACGCCTCTGTCCGTCGTTTGTATCAGCCACGCATCGTCCCTGCCACTCGACTCCCCCTCCCATCCATACCCTGAAGAAAAGCAAAAGCCAAACCCGAATCATAGTTATTGTTCCTCCCTCATCCCAAAAGCGTCCTGATCGTCATCGTCTGATTCGCAACTCTTTACCAGAGGAAAGGTTGAGGATCCAAATCGGCTGTCGGGATATGTTCATAGTCGTTGCGATAATCCCACAGCTTGAACATGTCGCCATCCAGATAGCCTCCATCAAGCGCGAACTCTGCCGGAACGTGGCGGGGTTCGTGGTTGCCAGGTCTGGTCAGCCAAAGAACCTCATCGAAGATGAAGTCATTCATGGAACCGGATATGTGCAGCTTTCGGAGTGAAGGCGGCAAGGTTCGGATCAGAGGACTGCCCTCCACAGCGGTCGGATTGAATGGATCAGAGCTTACGTCTGTAAAGTTGGCTTTGTTCGACTCAAAGACGCTGATGTCCACCCAGGCTGCCTCAAGTCTTGTGAACGTGCTGAGCTCGAAGGCGGGGCTCTGCAAGTCAGTCTCACAGGTTCCGTTGAAGTCGATGACCAGAGTGCGGAGGGTGGCCCGACGTATGCCCAGAGCCCCAAGAATTAGCCACGGATGGACGGCGTAGGGATGCATGTCTCTCCGTATCGGCTTCTTCCAAAAGAACCGTTCCAGTCTAGGACAGGCTCGAATGGCATTGGCAAGAACGGGGAGTGGCATTGAACTGTCGTTAAAGGCAAGGGTTGTCAGATGCGTCGATGACCAGTTGTGGAACTGGAGAGCTGTGCCCACGATGTAAGACTCTTTCAGGTTTTTCGCTCCGTCAATGAACCTGGCGTTGAACAGCCGCTCGCGAGGCCAAGCCCAATGGCTTTCCGCATCGGTATAAGTCTTCCTCATAGAGAAAGACTTCAGGGAGGAAATTGTTGACTTGTTGGCTTGTTGGGTTGAGACAATCTCGTCCATGTCGTGGATGGCATCCAAGATTCCGGAAAGAGACAGCGGCTCTGCAGATAGAACGAAGTCTTGGGCATTGTTGACGAGAGTGAAGAGAAAAGCGGACGATAGCTCAAAGACATTGAAGGAGTGCATCACGACAGGCAAAGAAGCCTTCTTCAGCCAAGCCTCCAGTGTGATCAAGTCCCTGAAATACTCATAATCGGCAACATCAGCGGATGACAGGGCATGCTCGCCGTCAAGGTGGATGTACAACTGCTTGACTAGCCGACAAAGATCCTCGTTTTGTGAGAGGGTCTTCATCAGCGACAGCCACTGCCGAGGGGCTTTGAGCCCGCTATGAACACTGATAGATTCATATAGGAACGATGTGAATAGTTTGTAGTGGCGACGGGATGTACGTGTCAAGGACACAAGCGCCTGACGTTGACCGCAAAGCTCCCTTTGGATGAGCCGGTCGTTGTTGAAGTTATGAAGGAGTTTCTTGCCAGGCGTATATTTCGGGCAAAGGTAAGAACCAATGTGTAGAACCACCTCAGTGGGGAGGTTTTGTAGCCCAGCCATGTTGAAGTGAGCCACCAGAGGGGCAGTTGAAGAATCAAGAGTGACTGTGGCAGCTGAACAGGCGGCGGCACCTGGGAAAGGTTAGCCCGAATTAAGAAATCGTCTCAAACAGTCGTGAGCATTGCGAACGATAGAAGAATGAGAGGGTAGAGAGCGTACTGCGTGAGGAGTCACTGCGTGAAAGAGAAGATGCTGGTAAGTGCGAGCGTCGAGTCGTGGGTAGCGACCACTAGCAAGAACCAGAGAGTAATGGGAAAGAAAAGTCTTACAGTTTCCTGGCTTGAGGAGAAGGCCCCCTTTCTGTGAACACCTCAAGGGAAGAACTTGGTAGTTGAAGTGAGGAAATAAAAAGGCCGGAAGAGGTAGGGTGGCGTGAAGAAGCAGTCGAGCTGGGTGGGTGGAAGAAGAGTGGTGAGTTGGGCAAGAGAGAAAAAGACGACTGGGGGAAAAAAAGAAGAAAAAGCACAAAAAAGGTGAATTTGTGCCTGGGAAGGAACGCAGACGAGGACTTACGTTCAAGGAAGGAACGACAGAAGAATTTTCCACATCGCTATTTTATTGCTTCCTTCTCTATTTTTCCCCAAACGTGTGGTTTGCTTGGATATCACGCAGAACCATCTATCCCTCTAAAATATCATCCTTCCACTTGAAAGAACAGAGCAGTTTGTTTTCGTACAGCGATCCAAAATCATACGTAGGTAGGTAGCCAGCTGATACTCCACGACTGCCCTGATGCCAAAGCGCGCTTTCCCTAAAGCAAGTGTGCCTCAAAGTCGAGCCGATGTTATTATTTCTGTACTAAAGATCTACAGTGCCTCAATCATGGATCAATTGTGTTATTAGAACAAGATAATAGAGAATCACCTTGAGCAAAGTCACAAGGTCATTGTAGTAATATCAAGTGAAGCCAGGGTCTAAAAAGGGCTTTATAAGCAGGCTGGAGCATTAAGAATTCGCCAAAAGCTTCTTTGTTTATCTATGGTGTCTATGAGGAGATGTCGAATGCCCGGGACGGTATAATTAATGTCCACTTCTCGGCTTGCATCTCTGAATGCAGCTGGGATTGTGCCATGTTCTATAGTCCATCGGAATGCATAGCTGTGAAAGGGCAATTGTTTTCTTGCCCCCTCAAAGGGAAATCCTTTACCACAACTCTCCAAGCGTGCACACGGTGCTCGGAGATTCGATATCCGCCCTAATGAATCGTTCCTGGTATGACAAAGTGGTGTCTTTGTTGGTCTCGCCGATGTCTTCCTCCTTAGCATCACCATCTTGCAGGTAGCTTCCGCCGCCATAGCCGTCACCAGCATTCATAATTGAGAAAGCCAAGTCGTCACCATCATCGCCGAGATCGTTCTGGTTCGTGTCATCTTCGTCGCTGTCGTCCTCATTTGGATCCCAAAGTTCTGGGAATCTCCGAACGAAGTCCTCCAACTCAACCAAATTCAAATTGGGGAATTTCTCGCGATCTGTCAACACCTCGCACATGTTATGACGAACTTGATGCTCGTTACCTGCCAAGTGAAGACGCTTGATTGAGGCGGGCAAAGAAGTGCTGAGCTTGTGTGTCAGTCGCTTGTGCTTTTCTGAACGACTGGAGGAGCCATATTTGACTTTCTTCAATACACTCGAGGCATCGACCCAGAGATTCTCCAGATTGCTGAAGTCCGAAAGACTTCTGATAGCCTCGTACTCTCCACGATACCAGTCATTGAGATCAAGGCAGAGAGTGAGGAGGGTAGTCGTCGTGTTCTGGTGCTCCCGGAGTATGGTAACAACCTCTTCGGGTGACACAGGCCAGTGTGGAACGTATGCATCTGCCCGGGAGTTCAGATACTTGAAAGAGACAAGGGGGGCGCAGCCTTGGATCATCCCCCGGATCTTCTGTTCATCCAAAAATGTCTCGGTGATGGTGAGACAAGTAACATTGGACCATTGTGAGTGGGTATCGAGAGGTGAGGCTGGTTGTCCATCCCGACTTGCAATGAAAATCGATCTGGCGTTCGGAGCGAAATGAAGTAAATGGTTAAGATCAAGAGGCGTAATAGTTGCGTCTGGATGACTCTTTGGAAGGCAACTCGGACGTACAGCGAGCATCTTGATATTCGGAAGTGGTCGCTGAACACCCCGAAAGGTCTGAATCTTGAGGGGATCTGAAGGGCCTGGCTCCCCAGTCCATAGTAGGCCATCGAGCTCGGTTCTGGACCATGGGCCGTACTGATCGCAAAACAGGCCTCCCGGCACTGCGAGACCTAGCTCTTGTACTCCGTGTACACGCGAAAGAATGATCTCGAGAAGAATGCCAAGGTGTAAGATCCGAGTTCTGGAGCATCGAGATTCCGACATTTGGAGAAGCTGTCCATCTTCCGAGTGCCAGAGGTAGTACGGTGACGGGGCGCCCGACTGTCTAGCAGCCCAGTGACTCCATTCGAGATCTGCCTCTGTAAAGTCCTTGGTCTCCATGTTGCTAGGATCTAAGTGTAGATACAGTCTTCGGATGTTGACGGCAACATCTTTGTTGTCAATCAGAAACTGAATGAAGCACTTGAGCTTTTGGAAGCTGTTGGATCCATGGATGCTGATATTTCGGTAGAGCTCGGGAACCAGCATGTGCCGATACTTTCTGCAGGTACGTGAGAGGTTCAAGGCTGAGGACCAAGCTGGTTGAATCCTTTTGGCCAGATCTGCATCCGTGTTGGTGACAGAGAACTGTTCCCGTAAAGAGGATGATGGGAACATCTGATATATGATTTCTGGAGGGAGATCATTTAGGGTCGCCATCGTCAATGATTTGATCGTGAGTATCTGAGTGCAATGCGAACGGTGGACTGTGTGAGTTTCGAGTGATCTCTTTACTCTGAAGGGGGATTCTGGTACTAGATGACAGTCAATAACTGTTCGCCAGGCTGAAAACAAGAGATGGAATAACGTGATCGGGTTTAGGTACCTGGCAGATTATCGGCTGTGCTCTCAGAAGACAAATGCAAGACCGTCCACGCAAGAGCGACCGCCTTGATAAGGGCCTTTGTGATCCTCGAGGGAGACAAGAAAGTTGTTGTGATTTTGATCAACTTCTGTCCGTGAAGCAATCAAACCGAAGTTGACGGAGAAGACCGACTTCAGATCGACGGAGTAGAGTATGAAAGGCAGAAAAAGGTGGCGAGGTGAATGTTGGGACTGGAAGTTTTTGCCTTCCTCGCCGGCAGCTTTGAAAAGCCAGAAAAGGTGAATGAAGGGGGGGAGAAAGGAGAAACGCGGTCAAGGTCGTGCTTTCCGCCGGGAGGACAACAAAATCTGGTAGGCAAAAACGGATCTCGATATTCACCACTACTAGCCTGAAAGGTGGAAAGGTGAAGTATTCAGTGCACCTGGTTTCGAGCCCCACAGCTACCACGCCCTCGGGTCATAGGTATCTGTGTATTCTCATTGATGTCTGGGTGTATTCTCGTCAACATGTCTTTGCCAAAGCGGAAAGTATAACGGCAGATCATTACCATTGCACCATCTACCTCAGCCAGTCGACTTTCTTCCGATTTTGTACGAAGATCAGTCACTATGAGGGCCTGTTAGAAGTATTTGGGATCGATATACCATATTTAGTCTACCCCTGGGACACACGGAAGTCTGAATAACAGCAGAACTTGCATTGCCAATGATGGGACTTAAGTTATTCAAACGATACTCATGCGCTTCTGCCTCTTCTACTTCTTTGGTATTACATCAGATAACATAGCAAAAAGTCATCCATCATAAAAGGATCAAGCTGGTCTTGAATGGGACTTGTAATGGGTATCAGGCCATCGATACAGTACCCGTAGTACCCAAACATTGAACAATGAGTATTGTTCAGAAACATACTGCCTTTCATAAGGATGTGAACGTGAGATTCTCGGTTTATAGCACAGCATCGGAACCGCGAAATAGCAGTCATCTGTATGAGTATAGTTCGCAATATTGAACTGATTGCCATTTAAAGTAATTGCCTGCTTAGTCGTTCCGCCGACGCTGTCGCGTTGGGACGAAGGAAGAATTAGCAATAAACTAGGTGTGTTTTTCTCTTTACCACTGCTATCTGAGGTCGAGCAATATCTTAAGTCACCTCAGCTTCACGTTTGGACGTCAATGTGTAGTTATTGTGGGTATCGCCTTCGCAGTATAATTAAGATAGGACCTGGACAATCTGGATACACCTTTAGGCGAGTAGTCCCACTTCCCGAACACGGGTTTAACGGGCCGCAATATCCGCGAGTTTAACTGACGTCGATTATTAATTGGCAAGCCAAGTCTTATGACCGTACCATTGAGCTGTTGTTACTGGTGATAGAGTTCAAATGAAACCTTAATAATTGGAGAGACAAAAGATACGCCGGACTACTATGCGTCCGTATGCCCGTTAGCCAGCAATGACTGGCGCCTATATAATATCAGTATGTCCCGAGATAGTGATGGAGCGACTATTTATTAAGATAGCAGATAGATTTACGTTGTTTGCTTCACGAATAATCCGTGTGGACTTCATCCCACAGGACACAATAATTATGACACTCTCTTCGCTCTCCGTCCGAAACCAACGTCCCGAGCAGTCCCTTTCGACAACAAAGGTTGAACCATGGGAAGACTCCCTGAGAACCGACCCTTCTCAACCCGGTGTATTCGAATGGTGGTACTTCGACTCTCACTTGGCCAATGGCGGAAAGCTCATGGTGGTATTCCATACCAAGCTCTTCACCAGCCCTCAAGTCGGACTCGAACCCAAGATTCAGATCCAACTCGAGACACCCGATGGCCGAGTCTGCAATGTCTTGCAAGCCTACAACCCAGATGAGTTCCACTCCAGCAGAGATGAGTGCGATGTCACCATCACTAGAAATGGCATTGTCAACTTCTTCCGTGGCACGGGGCTCAAGGAGTATCACATTCGCGTGACGGTCGAGAGCCTTGATATCGACATTCAAATGACCAACACGACCTCGCCTTGGCGCCCTGGCAAAGGCCACGTGTGGTCCAAGGACAACGAATATTTTGATTGGTTCGTGGCGGTGCCCCAAGGGAAAGTCACCGCTACTTATATCATTGCTGGCGAGTCGCCAGTCACGGTAGGCGGCGATGGATACCACGACAAGAACTGGGGCAACGCGCCGCTCGCTCAGACGATCAACCATTGGTACTGGGGCCGAGGAACACTCGGGCCTTACACTGTCATCTCATCCGCAAATGTTTTCTCCGAGAAGCACGACTCTGTTCTGGTCAAGACCTTTATGATCCAGCACAAGGATACTGTCGTGGCTGATGATGGATCCAAGGTTAGCTTCAGTGCTGAAGGCATCGAACATGATGACAAGGTTGACCGCCCTGTTGCCGACACACTTCACTTTGAATACCAGAATGAAGGCACAGTCTTCGTCATTGAGTACCTCAGAGAAGAGACCACATTGCGCCAGCAGATGAGCGGGGCATGGTATCTCCGTTTTGCCGGCGGGATGAAACTCAAAAAGTACCAAAATAACGAGCTGGTTGAAGAGCATGTGGGCCACACTCAATGGGACTCGATGTGGTTTGGACAAGGGCGTAAAGAAGCCCTTCCTTACAGGAAATGATGAGTGTGAGGATGGCCACGACCTGCGAGGCAGTTTGGGTGGAGCTTCAGCGAGCTGTCTCAATCAACAGTCTCGACGCGGAACAAGAGAAGGATCAAAAAGGCCGCTGGAGAGGACGAGAGTCTCTAGATGAAATATGACTGGCGATGTCTCTATACACGTGCTATTGCTTGTGTTGATTTTAGAATAATAATAAGAAGGGTCAAGACTACAGTTCCTTCTCGGTAGGCTCTTGTATGCGTATTGAAGCCTAGCTCGACTTGTATCTCCCCCGCCAGCTTGCCATAAGAAATACTAACTCCCCAAAGCTCAACTTTATTGATTATGTCGGACATAACACTTCAGCGTCATCCTCAGCAATTCCCCTCCACGTGCTTCATGGGTGCCGATAGATGGACGCCAAGTGAACGTATTCACTTAGAAGCATCAGGCAACCAGGAAAGTCCCTTCCACCTCTACAATATCATCGTCGTTCAGTCTCTGGACTTCAATGATCGACCGAGGGGGTTGTCTATTGGGGTCGTTCCCCCAAAGCTCCGTCTGTGCCTGATTGCACAGAGGCCTATACCGATACATATCGGTCACATACACAACAAGACGTACTGCCGAGAACCGATCAGTGCCAGCAAGCTCGGCAAGTTGGATCATGTTGGCGTAAGCTTGGCGGATCCGGTCAATACCCACCGGAGCAAGGGTATTGTTAGATGGGTAAATGCCGCGCATGCCTGCTCCCGCGCATTTGTCAGTGGCTATGGTGGGTAACGCGAGGCAAGTGGTTATGTACCGGCGACGTAAACAGTACTTCCTGCCTTTGACATCAGACTCCATGGACCAGTAGGTGGGAACATAATTGAGGGATTGAAGATCTCTACCCCTGCAGATGAGGTGTAGTTGGGTTCCAGGCGAAGCGAAGTCGCCGCTGATATTATGGATAGAATGCCGAGGAGCTTCATTATAGAGTGAATTGATACAAACACCTGCGGAATGCGAACTTTGAAAATTTAATCGTGAGCGCTTCAGGGGAGGACTCGGAACCCCTTTAATTGGGTTTATTTTCCACGCGCTGCTCAGTTCATGACATCATACCAAGCTGGCTTTGCATGCTTGGCGCCGATCAAGTCCCTCGCGTCTGTTTTCTTCTGTAATATGACACAAACTAGAAACTTTGGCTAGAGGTAACATTATTATGAGTCCGAGGGAACTACCTGCTACTGCCTTTCTAAGATCCGATACTTGATAGCGCAACGTGTGTGACCTATCGCTCGCATAGGTTTCACTTTTCCAAGCGGGATTACGAAGAAACCTGGGAGCAAGATTGAACTCTGGGCCCTGGAGCAACCTTCCAATTCGCGAAAGTGAAGGCAGAACATGTTTGGCAGTGAAAGGGCTGACTCTCCGGTTGCTAAAGATGGAAGCTGGGCCACGGGGGCGAGAAAAGGCTGCAGTGAATGACCTTTCCTATCTTGTGCCCTACTAATGCATAGAATCATGTACTTTCAGAGTAGTCACTCTACCTTACTGAGATTTAGATTATTGTAATGCAACTAAACCGATCAATCTTAGAGATAGAGGCGAATAGACTGTTGAAGTCAAAAACTCCGACTATCTCAGTCAACCGGACGGACTCGTTCAATCCATAGCCACATGCCTGAGTGGTCTCAAGGATGCGCGGAGTCTGGTTCACTATAACATGACATTAGTATACGAATATGTAACGTTCCTGAAGTCTTCATGATTCATTCCTATCTCTACATTCTGGCAAGTCGTGAGGAAAACCTCCTCATCACCGGCGCATTACGTTTGTAACATATTGACTCCAAAGGTCTGAGTACACAACTCGGTTTCTGATGTACTTTCAAATGCCTTCTTACTGATTCGGCTTTTCCCATCTGAATCTTGATCAGCTTTTGCATATTACTGAGTAAGGCAATCGGATTGCCATCTCATCTAAAGACGTCGTCCGAATACAGTATTAAGCATTGTGAATCGAGTGTTCCACGTGAGTCTCTTGTACCGTGTTCGGTGTGTCTCAAACGCTAGCTCAAAAACGGAGGCTTCCAGCGATTATCATCGAAGACGCGCCGGATCCGGAACTTGGCGGGTCTAGTGTCTGACCAATACCGTCTGGTTCAAATAAGATATCCACGTGTTGAATTTTTAGGCACTTTGGGACATATGCTAGTTTCAACCCTAATGTCATGAACTTGCTGCACTGCCTGGCATTAAGACCGAAAAGATGGCTCCGGGCGACTCCGCTACGAACCGGGACGAATCGCCGCTAAGCTGGACACTGAACACTCCAGAAGAACAAGAACGAGAAAAATACTGGGTCGGAAGTCTCAATTGAGTAGAGCAAGTGCAAGACAGCGTTTGGTCTGGAGAATGCCATCAACGCCAGCAATTTGTGGTTTCTCTTTCCTAGAACATCTACTAAACACCAAGCTGTGTGCCTTGCCGCAATAACGCGTGGCCGAGGCGGGAGTCTCAGCTCGATAATCGCAAGCCCCCAACGAAAGCGTCTTGATTCCCGCAGAATGAACTAGGCTTGAAATATTGTTGGTCGAAGAACGACCTAGTGACTGAGACTTGTCAAATTTCGGCAAGGTCTCAGTCGGACTTTGAATCAGTGACACAGCTGAAATAAGCATCGAGCGGATGAGACTCTGTATGGCAGAATGCGATGGGCCTACGGAAGGAAATTGCTGCAAAGGAGCACTGCACCAAATGAACGGCCCTATGCATGAAGGTTCGGACTCTGGAGATTGAAGTTGCACTAAGCAGGCGAGCTACAGGAAATGGCATGATTCTAAAGAAACGGAGGGGTCGGCCCGTGACACGGTGCTTCCGTTGACTCTGGGTCATTCCGTGTGCAGTCCGGGAGATCATGAACTGTCTCAAGCCTCACGTCTCGGAGTAAAATGGAGATCTATAAAACAGCCTGCAAGACAGCCTGAAAGGGACCGCTAATGGGATTTTCGCATCATTGTCAATCGCATCTCGGGCAGGCAGCACTAGGACTACCTTACCTCGGGATCTTTAGTCCATCATGAACCTCTCAAAGTTCCTCACGACTTTTCTCCTTTCTGCCCTGGCGGCGTCTCATCCCCTTCTCGAGAGAGATGAGCTCCAGGAAAGAGCTGAATTCCAAAAGACAGGCTTCATCATAGACCAGCACAACCGGGCGAGGGATCTCATGATTGCGCTAGAGAAGACAGAGCGACAAGGTATGTCTCAAGGCTGGTGCCTGCCAACGAATCTTTAACTAATCGATGCGAAACAGATGCCAAATTTAGAGAGAGTCTGTCTGCGGATTGCGCCCACGCAGATAGGATCGTTCAGAATATTCGACAGAAGGAGATGAAGACAGTTTGGAATCTGAACAACGGAAGCTTTGCTGGCGAGATGTTCGCCTTGGCCCGCCCAAAGATCGCAAACACGACCTTGTGGAAAGTCGTCCAACGTATGCCGAAAGGCGCTTTACTTCATGCGCATCTCTCAGCCATGCTCCCTTACAACACTTTGCTTTCTTCCGTCATCTCCGTGGAAGGGATGCTATTCATGACCACAAAGACTATTGGCACCGCGGAAGGGCGCATTGCATCTCAGCCTGCATTCTTACCGCCAAACTCTGCCACCGTCAGCCAGTGGGCCGACATCGCCTCCGCAAACTACACAGGCCAGGTTGTGACTGTCGCAACTGCCATCGAGCAGTTTCCCGGGGGAGAGCCTGCGTTCCGCGATTTCATCATGAGCAAGTTGGTGCTTGCTCCCGACGTGGCGATACAGCACGAATTAGGAGTCGATGAGATTTGGCGTCGCTTCCAGCCCTTGTTTGGCACAGCAGGGACTATGCTGATCTACGAGCCCGTTGTACGAAGTTTCTGGAGGAATCTCTTTGACGAACTCGCGAGAGATAGGATCAGCTGGGTTGAGATCCGTTCTGGAGGCGCGGCGGGCAAGCTGGTAGAGACTGGGGCATCAGCATCGGATGACAGTGACGGTAAGAAATGGTGGGGTCTCATGGAGGAAGAGCTTGCCTACTTCAAGGGTCAGCATAACGATACCTTACAAACCGACGCTACTCTAGCTCCCTTTTACGGTGCTCGGGTTATCTGGGCAGACCAGCGATCTAAGCCGACGGATCAGATCCTAGCAAGTGAGTCAAACCTCTACATAGACGCAATATTACACACAATGATTACAGAGGCTAATGATTGTTGTGTAGGCATGAAAAGTGCGTTGGAGCTGAAGGGCCACTTTTCAGAGCTATTCAGCGGATACGATTTAGTCTCCCAGGAAGACCTGGGCCGTACGCTGCTCGATCTTGCGCCGGAGCTATTGTGGTTTCAGCAGGAGGCGAAGGAGAAAAATCTCACCATGCCCTTCTTCTTCCACGCAGGGGAGACACTCGGCGATGGTAATTCGACCGATCTCAATCTGTTCGACGCTGTTCTTCTGGGGACACGAAGGATCGGCCACGGATTCTCGCTCTACAAGCATCCCGAGTTGATCCATGCTGTGAAGAAGAATAACATCATGGTTGAGGTGTGTCCCATCTCCAATGAGGTACTTCAGCTGACTACGGATATTCTGCATCATCCCTTGCCAGCTATGATTGCGCACGGCGTCACGACGGCTATCAGCAACGATGATCCTGCAATGCTGGGACAGGACGCCGCCGGGCTGAGCTACGACTTCTATCAGGTCATTCAAGGGTTTGATAACGTTGGCCTCGCTGGACTGGTATGATTCCTTCTACAATTTTTGGTGCTTCTTCGTTATTAACACGTTGTGGCAGGGTGCCCTTGCGCAAAACAGCCTGCGGTGGTCCAATTTTGAAGACCAAGATGACAAGGAATGGGCGTTGGATATCGACCTGGGTGAAATAGGAAAGGGAACGAAGGGCCAGCGCATTCAAGAGTGGAATGTTCAATTTGATTCCTATTGCCAGGAGATTGTTAAGGATTATGGCGCGACATATGGAGGTTGACGGACAACTAAATGTGTGCCGAGTGACGTGCACGTTCAGTAAGAGCACCGGGCTGAAGAAGTGACTGCCCACGGGCCCGGTGATGGGAACGCCGTGGTAACCGGCCATGACTCTCTTATCTTGGGTCAAGACACAGAAGACTGGCAGGGCATATATTCCGAGGAAGAAAAGATTGAGCCGCACAAATGAGGGATAGGAAATGTGTGTCAGAAAAGGAGAAGAAAACTTGTCGCAAAAAGCAAGGACAAGGAGTTTTCTTATTGATATTCAAAGCACCATTGGTTATGGGCAAGGGATTGATTGCTACTCTATGAATCAATATCGGTGATTGCATAAGGTCTTCAGGTGGAAGTGACAGCAATGCCGCCAGATCTTTCCCTCAAACCCCCAAATTGTCTCCTTAAGATACATAGGCAAAGTATTTTTGTCGAGCGTCCACTCCGAATGACAGCACAGTGTCGTCCACCATAGGAAGCAATGCCGATGCTAGTAATGGATCAGGACGGATGGAAAGGACCAGACACTAATTAGGAATAGATAAGAAGAGAGCCAAAAGCTGGAAAGTGAAGTGTAAAGGAGCGAACTGCCACTTAAAAGATGTTCCAACTTCGTGGCAATTTCTATTTCTGAAAATAGTATCGTGTTGAGGTTTTTGAGAGTGAGAGGCGTACACCAACCGATGATTACGTTCACACAAGGGAGCGGGGTGAAAGCAAATAGGGGAAAATGATAAGGAATCAGGACAAATCCCAAGCCAAGTTTGCAAGTTCCAAACTCTCATTTCACCCCAAGCACTCGTGTCTACCGGAGCTCCGCCATCCTGATGTGAAAAGATTTCGAGACGCGTAGAGTGTTCGAGTTTGAGCGTATTGTAAGTGGAGATTCTATTAGGATTTGGGACCGAGATACCAAATCCGCTCAGATTTTTGAGGTTGTTGACCGCGAGATTGATAATAGATTCGATGTTCAAGAAATCGCCTGTTAAGGACAGAGACACCAAGGATTTCGATAATTTCATGATGAATTCTTCCGATTGAACATATTTCAGTGATTCATTTTGACTAATGGTGTGCTCCTTTATTTTGCCCGATCTCAAATACATAAAACCATCAAGTTTTCCAGCATTTCCAACATGCTCGATGAGTCGCATTGTACAAGAGACTCTGGCATATTTGGGAAGCTCAAACACAATATCTTGAAAGACTTCGTTTCAAGAGTCAGATTGAAGATAGTCTTGAATTGAAAGAAGGCATCACCGCACCTTTGTGCCTGTGGGCTGAGATATCTGAAAGCCTCAAGCTTGGGTGCCCGAGGGATTCTAGTGCTTTTCCCTTCATGATCACCTTGTCGAAAGTGAAGTCTTTGACGTTGTCGATGTTTTGAGTTTGGCCTCTTGTGCAATTGACATCGAGGTTGCCTTTTCCGTGGATCAACAAATGCTCCACTGGTAGCTGGCATAGCGTGAGAATAGTCTGCCACGATAAGGGATTAAAGAAGTTTTAGCATTACACATAGCATTACAACAGGCGGTAAGATTTTCATTATATTGATGTGAGTCGGTAAGTTACTTGAATGTTCTTATTTGTTTTGAAAAACTACTGGAGGTGACATTGATCAAAGGTCTCATATGCCGCTACAGCATTGGGGCTAATTCGATCAGATTTAAGTCAAGACGCTACACTGATTTCCACCTCAGGAATGATGATAACTTTGTTTCTGCTACGGATGAAGTATTGCATGAAATTAACGAGGTGTAAAAGAAATGAGATAGAGTAATGAGATACCGGAAATGAAATAGAAGATATGAGAATAAGGAGAGTATGGAGTTAGGCTACTGCAAACGATAGGAAGCAAATCCTATAAACGTTGATCGCGTACTCAAGAGCCATTTTATAGTTGAGCCTCCGTGTCATCGTTGATTCTCCAAAGAAGAATGTCCGGCTCCATCTCGTCTTCAAGTACCTCTGTACCACCGCTATTCTGTGCCACGAACGGGTCATTGAAAAGTGGTTTAGAATGATCTTTGATAATATAGAGCCTGGGGATCAGTTCCACACTCATTGATTGCACTAGGTCAGAGTTCTCTTTGGAGACGCCAAGTTTTGATTTCCTCGGGTTGCTAAATACCGAATATGGATACTTCTGCACGAAGTTTATCCAACTCTCGACGTCTTGGACGTTGCCTGTAATGCGTAGATGATTCAAGCTTGGCGGAAGTTCCTTCGTAAATGTCCTAAGGTTGCCATCGTTCCATCGTGATGTTTTGCCAGAATTGATCCACAGATGTGTCAAGCTGGTTAACTTCTTCAAAGAATTGACTGGCGAGCTTTTGACGTTGTAGCCCTGAGGAGGTTCACACAAACCAATACAGAGCGTTTTCAAGAACTGGCTTTGAGGGACCTGTAGATTGGACACTACTTTGTCCACTGGATCATGCCAAGTGCTATTCTCGGAGTCAACATCCTCCCCAATATATCGAAATGCTGAGATCTTGTCATTTTCCACATCAATGAGTTTCCTGATCTGGGTTTTTCCTAGTTGTACTTTGTGTAAGGTGATATCTGAAACTCCCATAAGGCCTGGCGTTATGAGAGAGCTCTCGGAGAAAATGAATTTTCCCTCGAGGAACAAGTGTTTCGAAGGCATAATAGTAGATAGCCAGCAGACACCTTGCCATGCAATTTGTTGGTCATCGTCCATACCCCTCAAAGAGAGGGAAGATAACTTCTTGATTGGTCTCTTGTTTTCTGGCTTGAAGTTAGAAGCTTCGCGGAAAACTTCAATAGTACTTTTGTCGGTATAGAACCAAGCTGCAATACGCTTGTCAAGCGCAAACTCTTCGACATTCGGGAAGACTTGAAGTAATAGGAAGATGAGTATGCAATTTCGTCTTCTCGTGATCTCTTCATTTTCGTCGGCGTACTCGAGGAATTTGCCATTATTGGGCGTAAAATCATCTGAATCAAAAAAGAACTCTTTCTTGAAGAGGTTTCGGACGATTTCGGTTTTGTCTTGCCAAATAGTGCCCCCGGGTATTGGAACGGTAGAACTTCCATATTCAACGAAGATCCGCTTAGGGAACTTAATCCAATCCTTTCCCTCGACCCATGTCAAAACAGTGACTAAGTGATAAAAGTTTCTGCCATCGATACGGAGTGTATGGAAGGCGTTGTTCATGGTCGTGGAATACCCAAGTCGAGGGTCATTGTCTTCTGTTGTGGGTTCGAGGTAACCGTAGACCGCCTGGCCAAGGGCACGTCTCCAACGTGCTTGATCATCAGGTTCTTCGGATCTATTGAGCACATCGCCGAGTTGAATTGTGTCTAGATGCTTGTAGCGATGGTCAAATACAGAACACTCGATGACGATGGGCCTCTCCTTCATCAATTCCTGGTGTGTCTCCCACTCGGGTCTTTGCTGGGAATGAGATGACACACCTCCGTCTTGGGGTGGTAGTGGAAGTTCGTTGTTGCCTTGAGCAGAGGACATCGTGAAGTGATGCCGAGTCGATTTGGAGTTGTGAGAAGTATCGGGACGGCGACTCGACGACGAATTTCTGACCCAACAGCCGTTGGACTCTTGCTGTAGACTGTGCCTCTAAGATAGAAAGAAATGACTTCGCGTTAAGTACTGTATGTACTAAAGTAATAACGGAGGACCTTAAACATGAGAATTCAGAAATATTTCCAGCTTTCAGATGGGATTTGACCAACGCATTTATACCTGACGTCAGCAGCAAATTCCTTGGTGTCATTTAACTCGTTTGCCCAAAATCTTAGGAAGACGAAAGATGATGAACAAGAATCTTGCAAGCTTTCTCTTGCTTGCAGTCAAGGCCGCTCTGTCCTTTCCTGCTGCATCCGTTCCCTTCCCCACCCTAGGTACCTATGTCAAGTCCTGTCATTTAAATCAATTTCTTTATTTGAATCTTGTTCGCTTCTAATCCTGGCCTACAGCCCTGTATAGGCAAGTTTTCAATGTGACCGTGTAAGCCTAGCGCCCGTGAAATTGCGGCCACATGAGGTTGTGGACAACAGATGACTAGGTATCTGCCAGCATGATTTTCTATTGTAAATCGCACCGAAAGAACACCCAGGTGATTTCTTTACCGCCTCATCCAGATTTGCACCATTTCTTAAGAGCTGGTGTTGTGAAATGCGGTTAGATCCAATGGCGCTGATGACTGCCGTCAGAACATCGAAGCTTACTCTTTGGCAAAGATGCTTACGAGGCGGCGGGGGCAATAAAGAAAAGACGTCAAGACGCTGTTCAGTTTTAGATGGATTACGGAAAGATTGGACTACACCTGGGTGTCAATAATCAATTGAACCTGTAGAGCATGTCTAGTGAATGAAGTGAACAGAGAGCAGAATCACCACATTGCAAGGCCGCGACGCATGCGGGGGCGATTGTGGTGTCGCTAAATTAACCGCCGCCAGATACCTGTATCGTTTCCTGCGGATGTCTAAGAATGTTGATCAGGGCAAGAGCTAGGTAGTTATCAGTTATCATTTGCGTTGCTTTGTGCAGTGGAACTCACTCCCGGTTCTCTGAAAGAAGATCCCTTGCTGTTTGTAGAGGCGGTAGACCAGGTAGTCATGATGCCGCCGCCTCCGCTGTTCCTTCCGTTCTGCACTTGGCATTACAACCAACAGAACAGATACCTGTTAGCCCGAAAATCTAGAGTAATTGATTGGCAGACAGCTTGGGCGACGACACATGAACGCTCCCTGGCTATTACGCCACATGGCAGGGGCAAGACAACATGCTGGATAGTGTGAGGACGAATAGAGTGGTTGAAATAACATTACCTTGAATTCCCGGGCGGCCGAAGAGTACGTTCATTACGTTGGGCGTGTTCAAGACCATGAAGCTCCTAATCAAAGAATCTTTGGACGTACTACGAGAGACCGCAGAATCATCTAGGGACCTTGCAGATTAGGATTAGAGCGCAAAGTGATGGATGCAGTAGGACCAAAGGTGGGCAATAGCTGCGTGAGCCTACGAAATACGATTATGATGCTCTAGCCTGCATTGCAAGGTTGATTGAGTCTCCAATGCAGAGAACCAAGTGAAAATGAGGATGTAGCTTCAACGCCTGTGTCCGCCTTCAGCCACTACTACTAGGTACCTTATCCACCCACCTTGGTCAGCCACACACCCGATTAGATAAGAAGGTGAAGTGCACCGCCACATGAGGTACGTTGCCTTACCTATCTTGTCCAAGTCCCTGGAGTTCGTGCGTCGGCCGGGCTGTGCAACACAACGTGGGCAGGTACGGCGGGCTGCATCAGAGGGTACGTACCGATCTCCCACTAACGGGCAAGCAGCGGACGCGGTCAAGTCTCGGAATGACATTTCGCGACGCCTGACACTTGACAGTTTATGCACCGAAGCTCCGTCTCCATTTCTCGCCAGTCCTCCCCTAAACCACCTGGTCTCACCTTGGCCACCGCCGCCAATCGCCTCCTCTTTGCTGCTCCTCTTTCGCCAACCAGTCGACATCCTCTCACCGAGCTTGATGCGCGAATAATTCCAACTCCTCCTGCCCTGCTGGAGATGCCTTCGGGGACAACACTATGGACTTTGTGAGATACCCTAGACGAAACACCCCTCCCTCCCTTTTGATCTTGGGCTTGGGCAACAAGAAACTTCAATCCTGACCAAAATCTAGTGGTCGCGCCTCCTAGCAGGCACCTCGCTGTCCCCCGCGGCCCATCGCAAGGAAGAAGCAAAGAACCCTACGAAACGTCTGCATCGCTTCGACAAAGAGTACAACCGCATCCTCGTGAGAAGCTTCCCCCGCGCTGCCGGCGAGGCCCTGATCTTAACACGTGATAGCAAATCTGGAGGTCGTCTTCCAATCTCGCCAACGACGTCGATGCCGCCGAGAACCTCGAACTCCGCCTCCAAGAACTTACAAACATCCTCAACGACGAGTCCCGACGACCGCTACCTCACCCGTGCATCCAGTATGCCGCCAAGAAACAAGTCTACGTACCCATTGGCAAGATAGCCACCACTTCCTACAATGAGTGGATCATCAAGGAAGCTGTGCTCTTCTTCGCAACTCTGCTCGAAACCGAAGAGGAGGCATTTGTCGAAAACACAACCTTCTCCGCCAGCTTGACGAACCTCCTGGTGCGCATCACCGGCGTCAACAGTGTGCGGTTGGGCTCTGATACCGAGGCCAAGGTCGTTGAGTTGGCTTTTAACATCACCACCAAGATCCGCCTCAACCGAGAGATACTACACGCCTGGTTCAAGAGCCATCACGATGGGAATCCCAAGGACAAGCCCCAGGACGGGCATGATGCATTTGCTGGCCGAACGCAGAGACAGGATTTCCCGTTATTCTACATCCTGATGGACTACATTCACCACGAGGGTAAGGTTGGGGACTTTGCCAGAACAGGTCTGCTGTACATCATTGAGTCCGCATCAAGCGACGAATCTCTCGAGCAATGGATTGTCGAGAGCGACCTCTCCACTCTCATGGCCACCGGCCTGGGTGCGCTCTACAGTCAGCTGAGTCGCAAGCTGGTTATTGACTATCCCACCAACGATCTGCCTCCCATCCTCGCTCTGTCCGACTACCAACACCCAGCCTCCACCTTTGAGATCATCAGCTCATGCTCTGGTGATTTCCAACTACACCTTGAGACCTTTCTCTCTCATCTTCTCTTCTGGCAGGATGTCTTGGACCACTGCAAATCCGTCGAGGTGAAGCAGACGCTTCTGGAGCATTTCCAGGTCATTTTCCTCCAACAACTCTTGTAAGACAGCCCGCCTGCAGGTTGGCCATGGTAAATATTGACATATTCCCTAGATACCCTTCTTTACTAGAGTCGTCCGATATCGACGGAGGCTCGTCCGTAGCTGTCTTGACGTACCTCCGCCGGATCCTCGAATCCCTAGACCACCCTGACATGATCAATCTTATCCTTCATTACCTGCTCGGCTTGCCTGATCATGTCACCGAAGACATGTCAGGTTCCCGAGCCTCCATCAGTGCGGCTCGCAAGCGTAAATCCATGGATCTCGCTACTATGCTTGCCCAGACCAAATCCGACATCACGGCTACTCCTTTACTCTTCAATCTGGTCGATCTTGCTCAGGCGTGTCTACGCTCACATAACCAGCAGACCATCCGCGTGACTCTCCAGCTGATCTCAGCTATCCTCCGGAGGCATCATCGTTATGCTATCAGCACGCTGCTTCGGACTGAAGCGGTCTTGGGAGTCAAAATGCACCGGACTGTCGGTGCCCACGAGCAGGAGGTGGATTATTTGATGAGTTTGGCTGGGTCCATTGGAGGGCAGGACAACTTTGACGAAATCTACGATAACGTCCTGAAGGACACCATGTCCCGGCTCGAGAGTCATCCCTGCTCCCTGAAGCTGGTCGCACCCAAGATATCCACCAACAATCATGACTTGCCCGCTATTCCTGATACACTGCCTGGGGCGCCACGCGACGTGCACGAGCACACGCTTCGCCCGGACGACCCGCTACTCAACTCGGTTTTGGATCTGCTCGAGACCTTTTTCGTGAACCCCGTCGACACAAATCTCTCCCTCACCGAGGCCATCTTAGACCTGGCCATTTGTGGCTACATGGCACCCGAAGGATGGATGCTGCGGAGCCCTCAAAAGTACACCTACGACGAGCAGCCACCCAGCCCTACCTCGCCCGACGCCTCGACCACTTCCTTTAGACCCCCGACAGACCCTGATTCTACGACGTCGGAGGAACAGCAGACGCTTGAGTCGTTGGATGCCTGCCGTCGTCGTCCAGTATGGGTACAGTCATCCCTACCTCGCATACTCGTCGTCCTACAGCAGTTGTGCAACCAGGTCACCAAGTATCGCGAGACTGTGCCCCGCTTCGAGGATCTTCTGCAAGGTAGGAGAGAGGCGTTCCAGACTGCAGACCGACCCCGCCCGCCTGGTCCACCGTTGCCACCCCGCAAGCCAACACCGCAGAGGCATAGTTCAACGCACACCCCGGAACGTTCAAGTCTGGACGACGCGACCCGCAGTGGCTCGCCAGCGCGGCCCTCGGGCCTCGAACGGTTTGCTCAGCGCCTGGTGTCGGAGCTGAGCACGCCCAGCCGTACTGGAAGCCCACGAGGCAGGAAGAACAGCCGAAGTTCCGGAACGGGTAGCCCGGCACCAGGTGTTATGTCTGGTGGGTATGGATTCTCTACGCCAACGTCTCGGCCTGTTCCCCCGCCCAAAGACACGCCTGGCAGTCACGATAACTCTGGCCGGGGCGCAGCGGATGAAGCTGGGTCGTCGCACACACCTCGAGATCCGGTAGCCAGCCAGGCCGCGGCGTTTGCAGCTATAGATCAGAGCATTCTCGCCCGAAAGGTTGGCATCCCCGGCAAGGTTGAGCCTATCCCACTGGATCTTGGGAAGAAGAAGCCCACATTACACATGCCGCCCCCTAAAGATGATGATGACGAGGGCGGAGATGAGCAGCAA